TATATTTATTTAAATTATATTGAAAATAAATAAATAAAGAAGAGCATTGTTTTTTAAAACTATTTATGAAATTAGAATGTGTGTGTGTGTGTGTGTGTGTGTGGAGATTTAGATTTGAAATTTGTATGATGTAAAAGATTAATTTTCAGGTATTCTCTCGCGGTGGTAGGTCGCGAAATTGAGAAAGAAAATCAACGTGTATAAGCTAAGCACGATGAGCCCCGCTACAAGATGTCCGTCGCCTATTTATTTATAGAGCGAGCACACATCGGCACGCACGGTCACATGCTCGTTTGCGAACAGAGAGACGATTGCACGCTCGCACACGCACATTTCAGGATACACAAGCTGATTCGTTCACGAGGAGGCACGCATTTAACACTAAACTTACCGACAATTTATCTCTACTTATTTATATAACTTTCTAAACGATAATATAATTATTTTTCAATAGAAAATTATTTACCATTTTGAAATAATCGATTCTTCTCAATAATCGCTAATTTTAGTGTATCCATAATTATATAAATAATATGATATATATATATATATATATATAATTTATTTTTTTTCTTCAAGATATTAATTGGAATCGTAAATAGAATTGAATATTGCAATAGGATTGATATGATATGACAAGTGATGCAAGTATTACATGTGTGATCTACAGTTTTACGAAGAAGAAGAAGAAGAAGAAGAAGAAGTAGAAGAAGAAGGAAGAAAATAAATAAAAAAATCAAAGTAAGAAGAGAAAAAAGAAAGAAAGTACTCGGATCGTTCGTCGACGAAACGTCTGGCACGCGTCGTAAATTCGAGGGAAACTCAATACTCGATTCAGAGCCGAGTGTAGATTCGAACGTCGAACTTGGCAAAGAGAAAAGATACTTCCAATGATACCGTGTGTATCGAGACGCACGTGAAAAAGACGTGTCTTCTTTTCGATTCATTCTCGAGTAACGAGATCGATATCGATCGAATTTATTTAACTCATAAGTTTTATTATTATATTTTTTTCAAATATGATACACACGTTTTCACAAATTCATCAATTGTACGTAAGAAAACATTGTACAAAATTATTTTTATTGTAAAATCTATTTCTTTTTCTTTGTTTTATAAATGTTTCTTCCTACCTTTAAATAATAAATCCTAAAATTAGCAATAAAAAATAAAAATAATCGCGATAAAAATTATCCTATCTTCTAAGTTGAAAATAATCACATAAAATAAAAAAAATTTTCATTAAGATCGGTGAAGTAGTTTTAAAGTTATTAGTGGACAAACATAAAGCTAATAAAATTTAGTTTATAGACTAGACTCAGAACTTTTTAACCAATCCACTTGTAAATTTCCATGTGCACCAAATTAGAAGTTTTAAAATAATTACAAAAATGTTTGAAAATTTGTTGGTGCAAAATGGCGGTATGTTTGAAGTTTAAAAAAAGATAGAAAGAGAGAGAGAGAGAGAGAGGGAGAGAGAGAGAGAGAGGTTGCTGCGTATTTGTCCTAAGAGCTAAATATCGCCTAGCAGATTGCGTAAGTATCATCGTTTCTTATGAAAGTGTGAGAGAGAGGACAGGTGCCCTGAACACACGTTTCTCGGACATCACATTTTAACGATAGCATTACCACCACCACCACCACCACCACCACTACTACACCAACATAACCATCATTGCAATCTTCCCTTCTCGACGAGCTGTTTCACTTGGCCATTTTCGAGAGACAAAATGAGAAAAGCAGCTCGATTACTTTAATAACTTTTAGCTAACTCTTAGATAGCAAGCTTAGTAGCTAGCTAAACGGTACAACTTGTTACAACCATCTTTTCCTTTACAACTTTGATCATATTTACTAAACGACAAAATTGTGATCTAGTTTCTTTTTTTTCTTATTTTCTTCTTCTGTTTTTTCTATTACGATTGAATTTGTATGCAAATGATCAAAATATAAAAAAATATTGCAAAATAAATGAATAAAATTGTATTCGATGATACAAAGAGAAACAACAATAAACAATTGGAGAGATGAAATTTTTCAAAGTATATTATAATATCGAAATAGATAATAGAATGGAATAAGAATCGAATAATATCAAAAGATTTTAGAATTGCGGAATTCTTCTTGGTTTTCCGTGGAACAGACGTCCTAGGTGATGAACGAGCCAAAGTCATAGAGAAAGAGAGAAAAAAGGGTGATGGGGGATGTAACAGAGAGAGAAAGAGAAAGAGAGTCTGCTGTATGATCAACATCATAAAAATTCCTGACCCTCTGTAAATATACACGGTGGTACAATAATATAAACTTAGTTGCTGCCAAGAAAACGGAGTCCGGCTAGTCTTAAACTTTACTACTTCTGACCCTTCCGTCTGATCATTTCTACGTAACGCTCAGAGAAGGAGACATGCAAAGGGAACGAAATAAAATCAGACGAAAACAGAGAGAGAGAGAGAGAGAAAAAGAGAAAGAGAAAGAGAAAGAGAAATGGCTGACGAACTAATCTAAAAGTAGACATTCATATTCGTTTAGTCTGAACTGACCTAATAGACTCTATTATTATAGAAAGTCCCTATTAACTATTATCATACGATTCTCATTATAATTAGTGGCTTATGGTTGAATCACAAAATGTGAAATTTCCTTTTGATTTTATTATATTATTCGTATATATATAGTTTTGTAATATTATTACTCTTACTTAAGAAGAGAATCATTCAGATTGAAACAAGATCGTTGGCAAGGTAATAAGAATTCTTTTTTCTAAGGGAATCTCTTTCTACCAAGTGTCGATAGGCCTCGCCAATATTTTTCTTGAGACGATTGTAAACATTAGAATTGTGGTTGCCAAGCCGTAGGAAGAGGATAGTAGTAAGTAAGTAAGTCAACTCTCTTTCTATCGGTCAGTGGCTACATACAAGCTGGCTGGCTAACTGGCTGGTTGGCTGGCTTTCTGACTGGTTGTTTGGTTATTTGGTAGGTAGGTAGGTAGGTAGGTAGGTAGATAGGTAGGATTGGTTATTTGGTTACTTGGTATCTCTTGTTTGGCTTAGATTACTATACTATACTTTACTACTACTATTACTACTATTAGTAATAACACGTTCCTTTGGTTGTCAGAATTTGAGTAGCAACTCTGCCAGGAGTCGTAAGAAAATTGTGCCTTTCCAAGCGCGCCGATGATGAGTTCAATGAATGCGAGGGAACGTTGAGAGGGAACGTTGAGAGGGAAAGTTTAGGATCGTCGCTCGACCCTGCCTGATCTTCTGGCACCCGTTTGAAGAATCTTCCTATCTCCTTACACTTCTCCTACTCTATAAACTCTTTCTATCTCTTTCTGTTTCTCTTTTTATCTCTTTATGTGCTTTTAAAACTTTTCAATTCTAACCTACTCAATATATCAATATCGTATCCATATTTTGCTTTTATTAAAACAACGTATGAATTTTATCAAAGGAATAACAAAACAAAACTGCTAATAAATTGTTGATTATAATTTTCAAGATGATCGAAAGATTTTGTTTATATCTTTATGTATAAAAATTCATTTGACTGAACATAGGCCAAATTATGATCGTAAATTTTCGTAAAACGAGAGCTCATGAATGATTTGAAACCGTTAGGGTAAATCTGGATAGCAAATTCAACTCGTGGTGTCTCTGTCGTAAACAAAAGTGAAGAATGAAGGAAGGAAGGAAGGAAGGAAGGAAAGTGATGATCGGCACGTGCGTTAGTTCATGCGTGCTCGTTTGCTTGCTTGCTTGCGTGTGTAAATGCGCGTGCGCATGAGTTTATCAGTGTGTGTGTGGTGTTGGTGGGTTTTTCTCTCTTTCTCTGTTTCTCTCATTGTCAGGTTGAGAGAGAACGCGCACGCCATGTGGCCTCGCCACTGTGTGCCATGTCATCATATGGGGGACCTGTGAAATTGGCAAGACGTTCCAAGAAACTTTGAATCGAAGCCGAGTGGAGTAACGTACCAGCACCGAGTAGTAAAACCGACGACACTTTGAACGGAGGGATAGATGGAAGACTGAATGAACGTAACCAAAGAGGAGAAGAATAAGAGAGAGAGAGAGCTACTTTGGCATGGAAAACCGAAATCGAACATCAACTCACATTAGTTATACAACTTTCCTTTCTAACTTACTTCGATCATGAATAAGACACGTGTGTTTAATATGAATTATTCTTATTATATTTTTGTATTATTCGAATCTTAGTTTCCATACGATTTGATATTTTTTATTATAGAATTTCTAGTGGCGCGTACTAAGTAGATTATTAGAAAGGAAAGGGTTAAAGGGAAATAATTAGTTGTAATCGAGTAAAAAATAATAACGGGGGTAAAGATTTCTTACCGTGACTGGTGATAAAATTGGCGAGGTAGAGATCGAGTTCCCGGACGGAGACGTTGATGTGATAGGGGTTGACGCAGAGACCCGGCTGAGCGCATTCCGCGGTCTTCTCAAGCCGTTCCCCGTCCGTCGACTCCAACGGAATTGCTTTGAAGAGTATCACCATTACCAGGTCCAATCGCCATACCTGTGACATCAACGAAGAACAGGGGGAGGGGGATATGTCGATCGAAGATTCCATTTTCTTCCAATTTCATATATACTTTTCTAAATAACTTTTTAGCCCACACGTCAAATCAAATGAAATCAAGTAATAACGAAGACAAATTTTCTTCACTGTAAATTTAGTTCAATGTAAACATTATTAATTATTTAATAATGTTTTCATCGAACTATTAATAATAACTGTTTTCTATTATTTACCTTATCGGCTTGCCTCAAACAGTCTATCCTTCTCATTTTGCCTTTTTGATCAGGATTGCTGAGGACACACATGGCTGGCCTCTTCCCTGTTATACTTAACACGAAGTCTTCTCTGTACTCTTGCGTGATATCCTTTCGTAACTTTCCTAAAAGCCGTGAGGCCCATTTCTGTTTCACCTCCAGCTTTTCGTTCTGAAAATCAAAACAAATTGCAAGATTCAAATATATGCAATAGAAATGTACCAGAACATCTTAGTAAATATATACAAATCTCAATTACTTTAGTATTATCCAATTGCTAATTAAAAATTAAAAAAACACGCATTACGCTTATATAAACAAACCTACGTGTATGTGTTAACTTAATTAATTATACGAGAACGACAATAGTTTTATCAAGCAGACAATACCGTCGATAATCGTTCAATTTTATTATTACATCAAAATAAAATGATATGAAACATGTATTGATTATTAAATTAACGGATTGAACTATTTTGGGATGATTTAATAGAAATCAATATATCGAAATCGTATCGAGTTAGGCGCCTCTTTGAATTCGGTGTTTTCCAATTGGCTTTCGAGGTCGAAATAATGAATCACCGGGAATCTCGATTAATCAACGCGGTAGGAAAACGAGAAGGCACTCAAACTGATTAGCACCGCTAGAAAACACGTTGTAGAATGTAAATCGTTCTACCCCCCCCCCCTTATTCCTCCACTTCCCACTATTCCCAGGAACTATGATTAACGTTCGAGAGGGTTGAGAACACCAACCAAAACTTCTTTCTAAGTAAACTTCGCTTCGAGAAAACCTTTCGTTAATTTCAAACGATTCTATCTCCCTCTCTCTTTCTCTCTCTCTCTCTGTCTCTCTCTCTCGCTTCATCTTTTCTTTTCTTTGCTTTTTTTTCTTTTTTTTTTTTTCTCTTTTACTTTGGAGGACTCGAGAGGGAAATAAGTCGAAAGCGTTGACTCGTTTCTACAATGTGAAAAAAGCTCAATTCAAAAGGGAAAGCAAGTAGTCGAGACTTTTTATCGACGCCTTTCGAGATCCTTCAAAGTTTAAATATTCAAACATGTTTTTCAATAGATATCGAATATATATTCCGAGTAAGAAAAACTCATTCTGACATTTATTTATCGTTATTAATGTTCAGTCTTCTTACTTTTATCAACCCTTATATAAGTTTCTTTTTATTACATTCAGATTTAACCCCTTAAGCAGCATTGATTTTAAGAAAAAAAACGGCCGAAAAAAATTATTTTCTTTTTTTTGCATAAAAAAATAGTTTAGAACATTGTTTTGACAAAAGAATGAGAAAAAATACAGAAATAATCAATATTTTTATGTTAATTTTGGATTTTGTTCCACGTTGCAGAGAAGAGCCGAATATTGTAATGTTAAACGTACGTCGACTTTTTAATCTTTCTTTTCGAATTAATATTTCGAAAAAAAAAAACGATTCTTTTTCTTTACTTTCACATTTTTATTTTCAATTTTTTATTATATTTGAGTGTAAAAAATCATAGAAATATAAAATAATAGGCCGCTCGAGTTAACTCGAGCGTGCTGCTTAACCCATTAGCTGCCACGATCCCCATTTGGGGATCTTGGAATTTTACGTACACCACTCGGTTTTATGTGGACTGTATAGAAAAATGGCATAATAATAGCTATTTTGTATGTATAGGATAATAATAAAAGAAATAAGTAATAGTCTCCTATTGGTTTTTTTTTTCGTGCAACCAGCCACAATCTCCATTTACGACGAAACCAAAAATAATTTGGCAATTAATGGGTTAAGGGGTTAATTAAAAACAATCAGCGTATACTATGAAAGATTTTCACTTGTATTTTGATCGAATAAAAAATCAGATAAAAAAATCAAATAAAAAAGGAAAGAAACATACATCGTTGCGGTTGTAGGACGAAAGAGGTAAAACTTGTGCCGCGCCTAGGTGTACGCACGTCACGGTTTTAAACGTGGCCGATACATACGTTCGTGGTAACTCTTCACACTTGGCATACTTGATCGGGTTTATGTTCGTTCGTTCGTTCGTTCGTTCGTTCGTTCGTTCTCGCTCCCACGTGCTCGGCCTCATGCGAGGTTTGCGTTCGCTTGCAGAGTTTACTCTACCACCCCTCCTCAAACTCCTCTACCAATCCTTTGCTACTACCCCACCACCCTCTCTCCCCTCAGTCAATGTTCAGAGGGCCTAGGAAGAGCGGGATAGATGCACCAATGCATTCCGCGCACTTTGCAAACGCATTTCTCAGGGACGTTATATGCATCCGCGAATGTACTTGCTATTCCACGCGTGCCAACGGCCACACGCGTGCCTTGCATTTTCTCTTGGCTTTAACGAGTCCATCAGAAGCTTCTTCTACTACTTCTTCTTCTTCTTCTTCTTCTTCTTCTTCTTCTCTCTTTTTTTTCTATTTCTTTTTTCTTTGTCTTTCTTTCGTTATTTTCGTTTTTTTTTTGTATTTTTATTCGTTATCTTTGTCGATGGTATTGCTCTTGTCCTGACCACGTTTACGTATTGCCGATACGTCACAGTGGGAGAGCTACTTGACAACATGAAAATGGTACACCGTTGACAGATTGACATTTTGAGAAATGTTAATTAATAGAAAATGTAGGTATTTCATTAAATATTTTATCATCGTGTATGTGTGTATGGATTCTTTTTTAAATGTATGATTTATCTATTAAATTTAAAGACAAAATATTGTGTAAAGTTATTATAATAAATTGTAAACCATTATCGACTTAGAATATTTAAAACGTGTATGAACATACATTTTTAAGAAAATATTATTGAATAAAAAATATGGCCAAATAATTATTGTAAATATATAATATGTATATGCAAAAGGATAAATTTGAAAAAAAAAAACAGAAAAAAGAAATCGTTTTAAATATTGAAAGAAGAAAAATTTTGTTGAACAATTTAGATTACCGATAGTTGTTCACGTAAACGTTCAATTTCGTTAATTCGACGTAGCTATCCTAGGTTGGCTCGAGGTGAGACGAATTCAATTACTTTCTGGGAGAGCCTGGGAAGACTAGATTCGAGAAGAAGAAAAAAACTAAAGAAATAAGAGAGATAAAGAGAAAGAAAGAATGGATGAGGTTGAGAAAGGACGATCGAACGACTCACTCGTACGTGAATGTTGTACCGAAGGGAAAGCATAATAAAAACGTAGTCTCTTTCCTAAGATTTATACGATCAACGAGAAACTTACGAATTTATTCGATATCCTTAAATCAAATCTGGATAAATATATTCAATATATTTCATTATTTAATACAAAAAAAAAAAATAAGAACAAATAAAATACCGAAGAAAAAAAATCAAATATGAATTAACAAAAAGATCAAATTAACCCATTAGCTGCCACGATCCCCATTTGGGGATTATGAAATTTTACGTACACCACTCGGTTTTATGTGAACTGTAGGAGAAAAGACATAATAATAGCTATTTTGTATGTATAGGATAATAATAAAAGAAATAAGTAGTAGTCTCTTATTAGTTTTTTTTTTTTCGTGCAACCAGCCACAATTCCCATTTAAGACTTTTTACAAAATATAAATATTTCTGAAAGCAAAAATAATTTAGCAGTTAATGGGTTGATGTTATCCAATACCTTCGTAATGAATTTTTATAAGATCAAAATAAAATTAGCACTGTATGTGTTAAAATTACACCTATGACTAATTATATTACAGTCAAATATCATGTATTAATTATATCAAGATAAAAAATATATAATCAACTCAATATCGTTAATTTAAACAAAGAAACGTTTTTTAAATGTTACGATAAAAATCTATTTGTTTCCTAATCGATATACTCGAACTACTTGTCAGAAAAGTGTTAGTACGTTCTCATGTGACTCGTTTTCTATTGAAGACAGATGGAAGGTAATCTCGAGGATATAAGAAAGCTTCAATTGCAATATCCGAGTGAAACAAAGCCATGCGGAAGAAATGGAAGGATGAAGAGGGGGTAGAAAATGTTTCAAAAGGGAAGAAGAATGATCGAGACTTGTTCTTTCCTTTCTATTTTCGTTTTCACTCTTTCTCTCGTCGTTTCATTCATCCAGCAAATTTTAAGAGGGCTGTTTAGAAAATAGAAAAATAATAATAATAATAATATATAAGAAATAAAAAGAAGGAGGATAAAGTTGTACACTTAAAAAACTATTAAATGAAACGAGTACACTTTATATATGTGTGTGTGTGTGTGTGTGTGTATATTAAATAATTTAAAAATGTAAATGTGATTAATAATAGGATTAGCCATTGAGAATGATTGGTTGATCTTTTAACGCGACAGTTGAAAGAAATTATATATGAAAAGTAAGTAATTTCTTGTTGCTTTTTTTTTTGTCAGGGTTGACAACGTCGTAGTCTCATTCGGACACTGATATGCCGAGGATGCTAACGGGCCAACGCAAAACGCGAACGCAACAGCTGTCGCCGATTTATTTTCGAATTGGTGGTGAAGCGTCCGATCATCGTCGAGGTTCCTACGTAAATATCTATCTATATTTGTATATACATATATATACGATGAATATACGTGAACTGTACTCTCGTTGAAGTACTTTTAAAAGTGTACGCATGCATCGTGGATAGAAAAGCTCGTCGATTTTAACAACTACGCTCACGTTCACACGGATCTACATTTCTTTGAATTCTCGCTACTGCATTCGACGAATCACTGACGACGTTTCTTTTATTTTATTTTTATTTTTTATTTCCATGGCAGTTATTTTCTATGAATTCTTTTTTCCTATTTCTCTCTCTTTCTCTCTCCATATATTATATTTATTTATTTTATCCAAATAACCAAATAAAATGAAATAATAGTTTATGATATTTAATTTTATCTTTCTTCATTTTATTATTATTATTATTATTATTATTATTATTATTATTATTATTATTATTTATATAACAAGCCTAATTTATATTATTACATTTTATTTTATAAGACGGAGTAAAATAAACTATGATGAGAGAATGAGAAAATTGAAAAGACATTTATGTATATGTAACATGTTCTTTTATAACATACGTTTAATTGTAGAAACTTGACTAATGTGAGTATGCGTATATATGTATATTGAGAAACATACTTGTTTACAGAGAAGTCTACCTGTCTTTAAGAGAGAA